ATGTGTGTGTGTGTGTGTGTGTGTTGTGTGTGTGTGTGTATGTCTGTGGAGCGAAACCGCTTTAGTCATCCTTTCCTCGGTCTGCTAGTATGTCAACCTCTGTTTTACCTGCGTGACATTTTTATGAACTCACGACAATTTAAAAGAGCAGTCCAGCCTCTGTCCATCACTATGCTTTTCACAGGCACTGCGACTTCTCCTGCTTAGCAACGTCTTTATTGTTCTTTCACACGTGTTTAATAAAAGTCTTATTGTGTTTGGAAGACATATTTTGCTGTCTTTTGACTGTTTCCGCTGTTGTTTGTCATATGCTTGTATTTATTTGTTGTTTTTCCTGTTGTTCCTGTGCATAATATCATTGTTGATATTGTTGTTGTGACATTCTATTTTTGTTGTTAGGCTATTGTTTTTTTTTTTTTTTACCCATTCCAAAACTAACTGTCTACGAATAACATATCAAAGAAGAGGGCATTAATTAATTTAGAGTTAACGTCCTCGTCATGAATGAAAGAAACAATGAATGAAGGAATAGATGAATGAATGAATGAATGAATGAATGAATGAATGAATGAATGAATGAATGAATGAATGAATGAATGAATGAATGAATGAATGACCGATGCGTAAAGGCTTAAACTGAGGGGAAAAATCAACTTCAATCCAGAAATTAACAAGGGAAAAGAACAACAGCTAAAAGAATAATGGAACAGAAATGTATGCAAGACTATCCACAAGGCAGTTTCTTGACCTATTACTTACAATTGCTTAGTCTCTATCTGGGTTCAAGCATCATGAATAGTTACTGTGGTACTGTGGGAAGATTAGACAATGTATACAAGACAGCTTGTCCTCTCTACAGTCCCCGTAACTATTGCAGTGGACCCTCATAATGGTTGTCCAGGCAGAAAAATCCTCTTAACACTTTTGCGCGCATCAGGTAACCCAGCGAAAGAACGCCTCTTTCTTTTGAAGCACAACACCGTCTCAAAGAGTGGGCGGTGTGTATCATTTGCGCGAGGGTTCACGCGAGGAAAAGAAAGGGAAAAAAGGGATCTTCAGTGAGGCGGTGCCGAATGAGGGCGAAGGAGCCGATAGAAACACACCCGAGCACTGGACAGTGGTGTTAAGGTCGATAGTGTATTCATAACTCGGGATTATCGGGTGATTTGTTGGTAAGTGTGTTTGACTTACTGTTTGTGCCATTCCTCAAGGACGTCGTTATGATTGATTCAGATAGAGAAATGACTTTGTAAACTTTGCATTTCTATTAACTTTTATACGCCTACTAATGGAAGTGTTTAGTCTATACTTGCTGCTTATACAGTTAACATTAGCTTTTAGTCAAGCCGTAAAATGTGAATTACTACCACGTGCAGTGTAGTTGTATACTAAAGAAGACAGGAACAATGGGGTTATAATCCGAAAAATAGCCACTAGACTTGTCGATGAAAGAAAAACCCGTTGGAGAAAAAAGGCGTGGCATTATTAAAAATGTTTACCGTGACGCACACAACACAACGCTAAATCATATCTACGAGCTACCGTACCATTATTATGCGTATACTTGTATATATGATAATATTATGTACATGTGAATATGTCGTAATGATAATGGTTGAGCGTAGACTGGGCATATTAAACCTACCTACTAAGTAAAAGCATAATGATATATATATATAGAAAGCCGCCAGCAGTGCAGGTCTAGATCTACCTCACTCTTTCTGCTGGGACATTGTATCCCTTTCAGTTCTGGTTGGCCTTGACAGGCAGGGTCAAACAGCCCGCCTCCTAAATAATCCACACAGTGTTGAAGGGGGCGTAAAAATTCTACAATCAGATGATAAAATATGCACACAAAGGTTACTGAATAATGGATTTGAGTTTTGAGAGTAAGCTTTCTGCCCGAGTTACGATATATTTTTCCTGTTATTTGTTTTTGTTTTTGAGTTAGATTCTAGTTTGTTTTATTTTCTTCAAAGTAAACATTTTGGTTTTTGTGCAAAAAAAGTTTAAATTCCAAGGGCCTTCTTCCTTCTTATTTTTCTAATAATATTGTCTTTTTATTTGTTATTATTTGTTGTTTATTCTACTTCACACTGTTTTCACAATTATTAAAAAGTTAATAAAAAGCAAACACTTGCTGCCTCGTTGCTTCCCTGAAGCCGTAGACTAAACGTTGCTTCTGTTTCAATAAAAGGGGAAATTGCCTCACCAATTCATCATCATCATCATCATCATCATCATCATCATCATCATCATCATCATCATCATCATCATCATCATCATCATCATCATCGTCCAGTGACAGATCTGCGACAGACATCGGCGATCATGGTTCTCCATTCATTCCTTTGCTCGGATGCTCTTAAAAAAGCTGCGTTTGCCTGACCTTTCCTTGTTACCCATTTATTTAGGTTCCCTGGGTATGTTGTTCTGGGCCTACCCCTGCCTCGCTTGCCTCAATTTTGCCAGTGAGAGCTAGATGTTCAACACCCTTATGTCTATTTATGTGTCCCAAAAACTGCATTTGTCGTTTCCTGATTGTTTTTAACATTGAGCGTTCCACGTGGGCTTCATCAAGCACTACCTCATTTGATTTCTTTTCCTTCCACGATACTCTTAGCAGTCTCCTAAGAAACCACATTTCTGTTGCTTCTATTTTATTTCCACTGTCTTTAGTGATTGTCCAGCATTCACAGCCATATAGAAGGGTTGACCAAACATAGCATTTCAGAACTTTCATTTTGGTGTTCATTGAGATGTTTCTATTTTTCAGGATTGGGCTCATTTTATTGAAACTAGCATTAGCCATAGTAGTTCTCCTTTTTATTTCTGTGGAGCATTTGGCATCAGATGTTATCATATATCCTAGATATTTAAACTGTTGGACTAGTTTGATCTTTTCACCTTTGCTAATGAGATTACAACTAGGCTTTACTGCCTTTTTGAATATTACTATAATATTACCATGCATTCTGTTTTCTTTACTTTCAACAATAATCCTTCACCAAATCACTTTATCAAAAGTACAGCCTGTAGCACAGATAGTACAAAAACGTAATGCTGTCTTGGAAATAACTATAGCAGAAGAGTCCTTACAATCCTTTTGTAAACAAAACTAGTCTATCAGTTTACGGAGGGTTTATGAACAGATTTTCTGTTAAAGAAGAACTCCTTTATCTCAATTACAACCCATTTCATTGTCCACTGCACCCCCTCACTTCGCTGTTTGTTTCGCTGATCAAGAGTAGAGATAACTAGGACAGTGGGAGAATATAGTATAAATGTGGATTATGTTAGTCCTTCGCTCGCTATGTAGATCGAGAGAACCGGGTACCTCATTTTCTGTCAGGTGAACCGGCATGGCGGGTCTATGAAGAGTTTTAAAGAGATTAGGTTGAAAGTGGATTGAATAGTTTTCCATGAGACCTTTGGGGCAATCCCG